CCCCACCCAACCACAAGGTGGGACACCAGATTGGTTGCCGAGTCTGTCACCCGTACCCACTGTCTACGACTGTGTTACAGCCGACACTAATGGCACTGCAGCCATCACTGTAACCGTTACTGTAGCCGGCCCTGACTAATGTCCTTAGCTAGCATAAGCCTCGTATTTACAGCTGTAAGCGACTTACGCAACTGTTCGGCCTTTTACTGGAAGTAAATAATGATGCTTAAGCGATTTACATCTCCAGAATGTGCAAAAGTTAGGCGATTGACAGTGTGACGGTCGAGTACCGTCACACGGCGCTCCGAGTACTGTCTCCGGGCGTCACACGGCGCTCCGAGTACTGTCTCCGGCCGTCACACGGCGCTCGGAGTACTGTCTCCGGGCGTCACACGGCGCTCCGAGTACTGTCTCCGGGCGTCACACGGCGCTCCGAGTACTGTCTCCGGGCGTCACACGGCGCTCCGAGTACTGTCTCCGGGCGTCACCAAGGTCAGGCTTGGTTATGTAGTGACCTCACCAGACATAACCAAGGTCAGGCTTGGTTATGTAGTGACCTCACCAGACATAACCAAGGTCAGGCTTGGTTATGTAGTGACCTCACCAGACATAACCAAGGTCACACTTGGTTATGTAGTGACCTCACCAGACATAACCAAGGTCAGGCTTGGTTATGTAGTGACCTCACCAGACATAACCAAGGTCAGGCTTGGTTATGTAGTGACCTCACCAGACATAACCAAGGTCACGCTTGGTTATGTAGTGACCTCACCAGACATAACCAAGGTCACGCTTGGTTATGTAGTGACCTCACCAGACATAACCAAGGTCACGCTTGGTTATGTAGTGACCTCACCAGACATAACCAAGGTCAGGCTTGGTTATGTAGTGACCTCACCAGACATAACCAAGGTCACACTTAGTTATGTAGACCCCCCCCCCCCGCTCACCATAGGGACACCACTAGCACCATCCTAACTACAAAACGCTAGTCCTAGATGAGACGACGATTCACCAGGTATTTAACGAAACCTGTCGATCTTTCCTCAATCCATGTCAAGTTTAACGCAAGACTTTTGACGAAGACTTTGCCCGAAACGCTACGCGTACAAGTGGCTTTATCAGGTAATGTATGTACTACCTCTATCTTTAAATCAAACATAATGTGTGTACTGTAACTCTGCAACTATGTATGTGCTTCTCCTAAGTAAATTATTATTATTATTACTAATGCACACCTGTCAGGTTCAGGTGTATATGTTGTTTCAAACATAGTGGTAGGGGCCTCGTAGCCTGGTGGATAGCGCGCAGGACTCGTAAGTCTGTGGCGCGGGTTCGATTCCCGCACGAGGCAGAAACAAATGGGCAAAGTTTCTTTCACACTGAATGCCCCTGTTACCTAGCAGTAAATAGGTACCTGGGAGTTAGTCAGCTGTCACGGGCTGCTTCCTGGGGGTGGAGGCCTGGTCGAGGACCGGGCCGCGGGGACACTAAAGCCCCGAAATCATCTCAAGATAACCTCAAGATAGTGTCTAACTCTAAATCTAACAACTGCGGTGGTTTTCTAACCTTCTGTATGTCAATCTAAATGGACCAAACAGATGCAAAAGCAGTCTGAGCCAAAAGCCATTTGAAGCCAAAAACATAAAATAGTGAAATAAGACAAATAAGCTACGGGGGAATTACACGTAGAAGTTATAGTAATCAGACATATAATGTTCTCCGTCCGTATCTTGCCCAGGTTAGGTCCGTGGTTACCCCTGCGATGATTTCGGGGCTCAACGTCCTCTCGGCCCGGTTCTCGAGCAGGCCGCCTGGTGGCCCTCGACGAGGCCATCAGGTTGCAATCTGAAACCCGTGCTACAGGGCACAAAAATAAACACACACACAGAAGAATAACAAAGTTAATCACAGGAAGAACAGGAAGCTTCCTTGTGAAAAGAGAGAGAGAGAGAGAGAGAGAGAGAGAGAGAGAGAGAGAGAGAGAGAGAGAGAGAGAGAAGAGAGAAGAGAGAGAAGAGAGAGAGAGAGAGAGAGAGAGAGAGATAGAGAGAGAGAGAGAGAGAGAGAGAGAGAGAGAGAGGATTTAGAGAGAGAGGATAGAGAGAGAGGATAGATAGAGAGAGGATAGAGAGAGATAGAGAGAGAGGATAGAGAAGAGAGGATAGAGAGAGAGGAGAGAGAGAGAGGATAGAGAGAGAGAGAGAGAGAGAGAGGATAGAGAGAGAGGATAGAGAGAGAGGATAGAGAGAGAGGATAGAGAGAGAGTAGGAGAGAGAGAGAGAGAGAGAGAGAGAGGATAGAGAGAGAGGATAGAGAGAGAGAGAGGAGAGAGAGAGAGAGAGAGAGAGAGAGAGAGACAGACACATACAGAGAGTTACTCACGCTCTCTCCTGGTTGTCCAGGTGGATGACCAGTTCGTCTCTCTTGTTAACGATGGTGACCAGCTCCTCCAACAACAGCTTCTCCCGCAGCTTCTGCGCCTCCGTCTTCTGCCAGTCTGCCCACCCAGGGAGAGAGAGAGAGTCGTGTCAGTTAAGTACCGCCACAACGGCTACTTCATCACCATCATCATCACCACCATCACTACACAATTACTCGCATTTTAGTGGGATGGGAAACAGGAAGGAGAATGGTGCGAGACAACGGCAATACGAACGGAAACGGGGCCGATAAATCGAACACCATCACTTTGTTTGAAAATAAAATGAATGAATTAATTAAGGTGTGAATACGTTATAAAGTGTCCGAAGGTGGGTTAGGGGGAGGGGGGGGGAGAGGGGAGACGCTACACTGTTTTGACCAGTTGGGTACCACCACCACGACCACCACCACCACGGCCCACCACCACCACCATCACCACGGCCCACCACCACCATGGCCCACCACCACCACCACCACCACGGCCCACCACCACGGCCCACCACCACCACGGCCCACCACCACCACCACGGCCCACCACCACCACCACCACCACGGCCCACCACCACCACCACGGGCCCACCACCACCACCACCACCACGGCCCACCACCACCACGGCCCGGCTGGACACAAAGCGGCCCCACACGGAGCCTGTTACCCCAACACAACACTCACCTGGATTACCAATTACTACCACAAAAGAAAAGCTAAAATATAATATTAAAAATAAAAACATAGCAAATAATATATCCTGTGTGTATGTATATATATACAACCGGGGGAGCCGGTTGGTCGAGCGGACAGCACGCTGGATTTGTGATCCTGTGGTCCTGGGTTCGATTCCAGGCGCCGGCGAGAAACAATGGGCAGAGTTTCTTTCACCCTATGCCCCTGTTACCTAGCAGTAAAATAGGTACCTGGGTGTTAGTCAGCTGTCACGGGCTGCTTCCTGGGGGTGGAGGCTTGGTCGAGGACCGGGCCGCGGGGACACTAAAAAGCCCCGAAATCATCTCAAGATAACCTCTATATATAATATAATTTATATATATATATATATTATATATATATATTTAATATATAAGATATATTTATATATATATATATATATATATATATATATATATATATATATATATATATATATATATATATATATATATATATATATATATATATATATATATATATAATAGCAGGATTTATTGTACATGTTAGAATATAACAAAGAACGAGATAAATGATTCTAGTACGAATCTTCTCTATATTTCTCATGTTATGTCCACTTAAGAAGAACATTGAACATTTTACTCTCCAAAGTTAATTTTACAGTTTCCTTAAGACCTGCCACTAAGAGATGCGTTTCATTGACCGTGTCATCATATTCAAAGGATGAGAAAAAGTAAAAAAGAATTTTTTTTTTTTGCTAAAAAAGGTGAAGTGTCCCATGGGGTCAATAAGCCTTGTGCAGTGTCTTTACTTCTGGTGTTTGAGTGATGGGTGGGGTAGTATGCTGGATATTCTGTCTTGGTCTTGAAGATACCTGCTTGATATGATTCTGCGAGTTCTTCTACTCCCCAAGCCCGGCCCGAGGCCAGCCTTGAGTTGTGAGAGTTTGGTCCACCAGGCTGTTGCTTGGAGCGGCCCGCAGGCCCACATACCCACCACAGCCCGGTTGGTCCGGCACTCCTTGGAGGAAACTATCTAGTTTCCTCTTGAAGATGTCCACGGTTGTTCCGGCAATATTTCTTATGCTCGCTGGGAGGACGTTGAACAGCCGTGGACCTCTGATGTTTATACAGTGTTCTCTGATTGTCCCTAAGGCACCTCTGCTCTTCACTGGTTCTATTCTGCATTTTCTTCCATATTGTTCACTTCAATATGTTATTTTACTGCGCAGGTTTGGGACCTGGCCCTCCAGTATTTTCCATGTGTATATTATTTGGTATCTCTCTCTTCTCCTCTTTAGTGAGTACATTTGAAGAGCTTTGAGACGATCCCAATAATTTAGGTGCTGTATTGCGTCTATGCGTGCCGTATATATTCCCTGTATTCCCTCTATTTCAGCAATCTCTCCTGCTCTGAAGGGGGAAGTGAGTACTGAGCAGTGCTCAAGACGGGACAACACAAGTGACTTGAATATTTACAACCATTGTGATGGGATCCCTGGATTTGAAGATGGTAGAATGTAACCGCATGTTTGCTGGCGGTTGGTAGTCGGTTGAAGTATTTGATAGTGGTTCGCAGATGGCTAATCTTCCATTACAAATAGGCTTGTATGGAAATAGGCTTGAGGCAACAGGTTATGTTGCTTGTGACAGACAGCATGTCCAGCGGCATCTTGCAGTCCCAGCGCGAGTCTTCCTCCCCTCTGGGCCACACCTTACACTACAAGCCTTGTCTACACACACTAAACCCGCCAAACACACACCAAAACTACGACGTTGGTACAACGTTCGAACAAGTTTTAACAGCTCCTAACCAGTTATAACAACCAATATAGCAAGTTGTAACAACGTTCTAATACGTCATAAACACGTTAAGCCAAGATGTAACAACTTTATTACAAGTTGTAACAAGCGGAAAATAGAGACAGTTTTGGTTTGTGTTTCCAGGAATACTACTCATCTCGGTCTTTCTCTACGTGGTGGTGAGTAGTATCACCTTTCTTTAGGCATGTTTACCGAAGACTGAAGCATGTCTCGACACCACCTGAACCATAACCAGCACCCTGTACTCAACGCCCAAATGCTCGTTAAATACTGCAGACAAGTCCCCTGCTCATTCAACCCGTCCTCAGACCATGTCCATTCCATCCAGCAGCATCCCCCCCCCCTCATAAACCATTCCAGGCACCCGCCGAACCCGCCGTTTATGAATGGAAAAACTGTTTACACACGACTCACAACTGATGACGTTAGAACACTTCCGGAACAAGTGCGTCGCTGACGACTTTTTTTCGAACCACAACGCTGTAAATGCTTCACCCACGTACTACAAATAATCGCCAACAGAACCTAAACACCTAACCTAACCAGTGCCTAAATATGCACAATATGCTAATATTTAATAATGTTAATTTATATTTGAGAAAATTCCTGTTTTGAACGAATAGAACGTTATAATTGATGAATGCGTCTCTGGGGTCGACCGCTGGATGGAATGGACTTGGTCTGAGGAGATTATCTTGAGGATATCTAGAGATGATTTCAGGGCTTAGCGTCTACGCGGCCCGGTCCTCGACCAGGCCTCGTTTTTGTTACACACCTCCGGAAAGTAGCCCGTAGCAGCTGTCTAAATCCCAGGTACCTATCTACTGCTAGGTGAACAAGGCATCAGGGCGAAAGAAACTCGGCCCATTTGTTTCCGCTTCCACCGGGGATCGAACCCGAAACCCGGACGGGTTGGGGGACGGGCGCCAGGAGAAGTGGACACATGCTGAAGGCTGCCGACCAAGACGTCTCCGTGTCAGGCCTGTGTCAGGGCCTGTGTCGCAACATTATGACACGTCTTGTGAGTACAATGCGACGGGGAAGAGGGGAGATGGGACGGAATATAATGAGTGTGAGTGTGTGGGTATACGATTAAGTGCCCCTATGCCCCCAGTACCGCCCACCACGCCCCCTATGTCACCAGTACCGCCCACCACGCCCCCTATGTCACCAGTACCGCCCACCACGCCCCCTATGTCACCAGTACCGCCCACCACGCCCCCTATGTCACCAGTACCGCCCACCACGCCCCCTATGTCACCAGTACCGCCCACCACGCCCCCTATGCCACCAGTACCGCCCACCACGCCCCCTATGCCACATCAATGCCCCCGTACGGTGCCCGTATGCCAGGTGAGAAGCCTGCCTCCCCTCCTGGTGGACATAATCCTGGCACTCATTACTGTGGGAGGAGAGCCGCTGCCCGCCAGAATGTTCCTTCATTATTTGCTGGCTGCTCCCGCCACACTCCTCGTTTAATGAACTTAATTGCTCCAGGCGGATCCTCGCTAATCCTGCCTCGCTGCCTGCCACCACTGACAGCCTGCCTCGATGCCTGCCACCACTGACAGCCTGCCTCGCTGCCTGCCACCACTGACAGCCTGCCTCGCTGCCTGCCACCACTGACAGCCTGCCTCGCTGCCTGCCACCACTGACAGCCTGCCTCGCTGCCTGCCACCACTGACAGCCTGCCTCGCTGCCTGCCACCACTGTCAGCTTGCCTCGCTGCCTGCCACCACTGACAGCCTGCCTCGCTGCCTGCCACCACTGACAGCCTGCCTCGCTGCCTGCCACCACTGACAGCCTGCCTCGCTGCCTGCCACCACTGACAGCTCTCCCTACCTACAGGGGAGGTGCCGGAGGGGCCGCAATAGACAGGGGAGGTGCCGGAGGGGCCGCAATAGACAGGGGAGGTGCCGGAGGGGCCGCAATAGACAGGGGAGGTGCCGGAGGGGCCGCAATAGACAGGGGAGGTGCCGGAGGGGCCGCAATAGACAGGGGAGGTGCCGGAGGGGGGCTGAAGCACCCCAACAGCCCGGGACGCGCCACCAGGCACCTGTCTAATGAAGCGAGGTCTCTGATGGAGTATTTATAAACAATTAATTATGGGTTGCCCCCGCGGGCAATACCCTGGGGAGGGCAGGGGGGGGGAGGGCAGGGGGAGGGCAGGGGGAAAGCAGGGGGAGGGCAGGGGGAGGGCTGGGGGGGGAGGGCAGGGGGAGGGCAGGGGGAGGGCTGGGGAGGGCAGGGGAGGGCAGCTCTCACCCTAACCACCTCCGGATTGACGGATTTATGTGGGATTTTCTGGAGCAGTTGCTCCGACACCCTTAACTCTGCCTCTGCTGACTCAACCCCCATCCCTGCTGACTCAACCCCCATCCCTGCTGACTCAACCCCCATCCCTGCTGACTCAACCCCCATCCCTGCTGACTCAACCCCCATCCCTGCTGACTCAACCCCCATCCCTGCTGACTCAACCCCCATCCCTGCTGACTCAACCCCCATCCCTGCTGACTCAACCCCCATCCCTGCTGACTCAACCCCCATCCCTGCTGACTCAACCCCCATCCCTGCTGACTCAACCCCCAT